GGCCGTACGGTGGATGCCCTCAGCCTCAACGTCTCCACCCTGCAGCAATCTGTGGCGGGCCTCCTTCCGCCGCCCCCTCCACCGCCCGCGTCGCAGCCGCCCCCGCCACCGCCTACGCCGATGACGTCCCTTCCCATGAGTTTCTCCCTCGGCATGCCGCAGGGCAGCCAGGGGGTTCCCCTGCGTCAGCTGCGGTGGCCAGCCTCGCCGTCGCCCATCCCGTCGTGGGCACTGATGGGCACGACGCCGCCAGTCTACACATCGGCTACCACCGTGACGCCATTAGCCGTGTCCACCACCATCGTGCCTTCGGCCACGGCGTCCGGGACGTTCTACAGGGCACCGACGGGTCCCTGCTCTACGGCAGCGCTCCTGCCTCGTCTGCCGCTGGGGGCAGCGGCCACCCCGACGCCCACGCTCTGCCGCGGTTCTACAAACTGGAGTTCGCCACCTACGATGGGGGCGTCGATCCGCTCAACTGGCTCAACCAGTGTGAGCAATTTTTCTGCGGCCAGCGTACTCTCGCCTCGGATCGCACGTGGCTGGCGTCGTACCATCTCCGTTGGGCGGCACAGACCTGGTACTACGCCCTCGAACAGGATGAAGGCATGTCGGCCTAGGAGCGGTTTCACGAGCTGTGCCAGCTTCGTTTCGGTCCTCCAACGTAGGGCACCCGCTTAGCGGAGCTTGCCCGGCTGCCCTTCACTTCTACGGTGGCGGACTACTCCGAACACTACAACGCCGTCCTTTGTCATGAACCCGAGCTCAACGCCCGCCAGAAGGCCCAGCTGTATGTGGGGGGCCTTCCCGAGCACATCAAGTGCGATGTGGAGATGCACCACCCGCAAGACCTGCAAACGGCGATGTACTACGTGCGGGCTTTCGAGCGTCGCACGGCGGCGTTCCTCCCTGCCCTCCAGCAGTTGCAGCAGCGGGGGGGCCGCGGCCCATGCCCCTGCTGTTCCTGGCCAGCTGCGCATGATCCGTCGTCTCTCACCAGCCGAACAGGCAGAACGTCGTCGCCAGGGATTGTGCTTCAATTGCGACGAGCCCTTTGTGCGCGGCCACGTGTGCAAACGTCTCTTCTTCCTCGAGACGACCGACTACATCGACGACAAGTCGGCCGATGCAGCGGCTGCGGACGGCCCTACAGCCGCCCATCCGGAGGAGCTGGCGGCTGACCACGAAACCTCGGGCATGGCTAATGCCCTTGTGGAGTCCCTCCACGCCATTGCTGGTATCCAGCCACCGAACGCCATGCTGCTGCCGGTCGCCGTCAAGGGCGCGCACTTCCTCGCCCACCTCGACATCGGCTCGACGCACAACTTCGTCCAAGGGGCTGCGATGCGCCACCTCGGTCTCTCTCCCACTGGTGGCGAGCATCTACGTGTCACCATGGCCAATGGTGATCGCCTGGCGTGCGAAGGGATCGCACGTGACGTGCCCATCTACATCGGTGACGAGGACCTCGCCATCACCTGCGTCGGCCTCAGCTTGGGTGCCTTCAACTTCATCCTCGGCTTTGACTTCATCCGGACACTGGGGCCCGTGCTGTGGGATTGCGACGCTCTCACGTTGTCGTTCTGGCGGAACGGACGCCGCGTCACGTGGCAGGGGGTGCCCGGGCCGAGGGCGCCCACCCCCCAGCAGGTTGTGGCCGCGGTCGCGGCTGACCCGCGACTGCCGCTGCTGGACCGTCTCCTCCTGCAGTACGATGACATCTTCGCCGAGCCCACAAGGCTCCCTCCGCAGTGCCCGTACGACCACCGCATCCACCTGCTTCCTGGGACTGCGCCGATGGCGGTGCGCCCCTACCGCTATCCGCAATTGCAGAAGGATGAGCTCGAGCGTCAGTGTGCTGAGATGCTGGCCTAGGGCATTATTCGGCCCAGCACCTCGCCGTTCTCCGCCCCAGTCCTCCTTGTTCGCAAGGCGGACAACTCCTGGAGGTTCTGCATCGACTACCGCGCCCTTAACGTGAAGACCTCCAAGGACAAGTTTCCTATACCGGTGGTGGACGAGCTCCTAGACGAGCTACATGGCGCTCGCTTCTTCACCAAGCTGGATCTACGATCCGGCTATCACCAGGTGCGGATGCACCCTGATGACATCAGCAAGACGGCCTTTCGTACCCATCAGGGTCACTACGAGTTCCTGGTCATGCCATTTGGGCTCTCCAACGCCCCGGCAACATTCCAGGCCCTGATGAACGATGTTCTTCGCCCGTACCTTTGAAGGTTCGTGCTGGTGTTTTTCGATGACATCTTGATTTACAGCTCGTCCTGGGCGGAGCACCTGCAGCACGTCGGCGTCGTCCTCAACGCTCTCTGCGCCCATTGACTTCACCTGAAGCGCTCTAAGTGCTCATTTGGGGCGACGTCGGTGGCGTACCTCGGCCACGTCATCTCCGCCGAGGGGGTCGCCATGGATGAGGAAAAGATTGCGGCGGCCGCTTCCTGGCCTACCCCGAAGTCCGCCCGTGCCTTGCGTGGCTTCCTTGGCCTCGCCGGCTACTACCAGAAGTTCATCCGGGACTTCAGCGTCGTCGCGGCGCCACTGACGCGCCTCTTGCGCCGTGACGCGTTCTCCTGGGACGACGAGGCCCAGGCGGCCTTCTCGGCGCTCAAGAGCACCCTCACCACTGGGCCGGTTTTGCAGATGCCTGACTTCGACAAGGTGTTCGTAGTCGACCGCGATGCTTCGGGAGCGGGGATCGGCTCCATCCTTCACTAGGGCGCCGGTCCCCTCGCGTTCTTCAGCTGGCCGTTTGCAGCGCGTCATCTCAAGCTAGCTGCCTATGAGCGTGAGCTTATTGGGCTCATGCAGGCGGTGCGGCATTGGCGGTCGTATCTTTGGGGTCGCCACTTCATTGTGCGGATGGATCACTACAGCCTCAAGTACCTTCTGGATCAGCGCTTATCGACCATGCCTCAGCACCAGTGGGTCAACAAGCTATTTGGCTTCGACTTTGCCATGGAGTACCGGCTGGGGCGCCTGAACACAGTGGCGGACGCGCTGTCCCGCTGCGAGATGACCCGACCACGGCGCGTGACGCTTCAGCGACCGCGACTGCCACGTCGGGGCCTTCGTTCGCCTTCCTCGATGACGTCCGCCGTGCCACTACTGCTGCCCTAGACGCCGTTTATTGCAGGAACGCTTGGCAGCGGGGGAGCTATCTGCTCCTTGGCGTGTGGACGCCGGTCTCCTGCTGCACGGCCGCCGCATCTTCATCCCCGACGCCAGCGACCTTCGCCATCAGGCCATCCAGCTTGCCCATGGGGCCGGCCATGAGGGCATTCAGAAGACCTTGCACCGCCTTCGCTCGGATTTCTATATCCCCGGCGATTGTGCACTTGTCCAAGACTAGGTGCGCGCCTGCGAGGTGTGCCAGCGCAACAAGACCGACGCCATGCTCCCAGCGGGGCTGCTGCAGCCCCTAGAGGTGCCGTCCCAAGTATGGGCGGACATCTCCATGGACTTTATCGAGGGCCTGCCCAAGGTCAGCGGCAAGTCCGTCATCCTCACCGTCGTGGACCGCTTCTCCAAGTATGCGCATTTTATTGCGCTCGGGCATCCCTACACGGCTGCTACCGTCGCCTGCGCCTTCTTCGACGGCGTCGTCCACCTCCACGGGTTCCCGACATCCATTGTCAGCGATCGGGACCCCGTGTTTACCGGTCACGTCTGGCGTGATCTCTTCAAAATGGCAGGCGTGACTCTTCGTATGAGCACAACATTCCATCCTTAGACGGACGGCCAGTCGGAGGTGGTCAACAAGGTGATTGCTATGTACCTACGTTGTGTGACAGGTGATCGGCCTCGTGCATGGGTGGACTGGCTGTCATGGGCGGAGTATTGCTATAATACTTTGTTCCATACGGCTCTTCGCGCGACGCCCTTTGAGGTGGTGTACGGGCGTCCCCCGTCGCCGATTCTGCCTTACCGGCCGGGGACTGCCCGTAACAGAGGCGGCCGATGCTCTTCTCTATGGGCGGGATGAGATGTTGGCCGAAGTCCGGCAGTGTCTCGTCCAAGCTCAACAACTCGCCAAGCGCTACTACGACGCTCATCACAGAGAGGTGGAGTTCGACGTTGGTGCTTGGGTCTGGCTGCGCCTTCTTCACCGTACCGCGTAGTCCCTGGACCCTCGCGCCAAGCAGAAGCTGGGGCCACGGTGGGCTAGCCCCTTCCGTGTCCTAGAACGTATCGGGCGCATGGTGTATCGCCTACAGCTTCCGGATGGTGCGCGTCTCCATGATGTCTTCCACGTCAGCTTGCTGAAGCAGCACCGCGGCGACCCGCCTGCAGCGCCCGGTGCTCTTCCGCCGATTCAAGATGGCCGCATCCTTCCTGCTCCGGAACGTGCGTTGCGCGCCCAGCAGCACCGCGGTGTCTAGAAGGTTTTGATTCAGTGGCGTGGCCTGCCTGTTGAAGACGCCACTTGGGAGTCGGTCGCTGAGTTCAAGATGGCCTACCCGGAGTTCCAGCTCGAGGACGAGCTGTTTGTCCAGGCAGGGAGAGATGTTATGACCAGCATTCCCTATAGGCGCAGGCCCAACAGTGGCTAGGGAGGCTGCCGGTCAGAGGGGGCTAAAAGCCCATAGTTATTCTATTTTATAGTATTTTAGAGATAATTTCCTATTATTTATTAGAGAGAGGCTTATATATATTGTAAACACCCTTTGGGATTAATTAAGCAGAAACAATTATTGTTTCCGGCTTCCTTAGGGAGCCGGGAGAAACCCTAGCCGCCTTCTTTCTTCTTTCTTCCGTGAACAGTACCGCAACACTGTAGCGACGGTACTGTAGCGCCTCCATCCTCTGCCTTCTTGCGCCTGCGCAGCCACGGCGCCTCCGCGCCGTCTTCCTCGCTCGCTCAAGCCTCGACTTTCCCCCTCACACTCATGCAACCTGAGATCAGTTCCCGGTAGGACTAGGGTTCCTATCACCTTTATTCTTATTTTTCTATTGGTACTAAATTTTATTTAGATTATGCTACCATGGCGGTGGATAATTGGACCATAAATCTAGAATGCGATGGGAAAGCTGAAGGACAAAAACATGTGCAAAGGCAAATGGACAGAGATCGGATATGCTTTTTTGACTTGATTGATATGATTGAGGGTTCTGGGTACACATCAGTTGACTATCTATACTACAAGAGAAAAGATAGCTTGGTTGTAATAGAACAAGATTCTGATGTGATGAAAATGCTCAATGAGTGTGAGAGCGAAAAGACGGTTAATTTGTTTGTGACGAGGCAGAGACTGGCCACTTTAGCACCTACCAAGTCCAACAAAGAACCATCCAAATCTAAACCAAAAATATAAAGGTATTAAAATGAACATAAAATTTAATTTTCTATGTATATTTGATTATTCAAGGACAACTATTCCAAGTCATGTTAGTTATCAATGATTTATTTTCATCCAAGATTAGCATATCCAACCCCACCGTGATATGTGACTTAATAAATACAATATTGATAGTCTAATACAAATATCTAGTTCTTTAATAAAAATATTACATATTGTTTATTATATTTACTATAAACACGTGTTCATGTCCCCAACATTTGTTTAGCGGGAAAATGAGGTACAAAGAAAAAGAAAGGATTAAATTTAATGCATATTGAAGCACCATATGCTAACGAGGTTGAGCAGAACGATGATGAGAACTAGATCACATCAGGTACAAATGTAGTTAGATCAATCTCATTCATATGGACTGCATCTTAACCAGTTACTATCACTATTATTCTATTTTAATAGGTGATGGCGATGAAGTACCCGATAAGCGAAAGGGGACCGTTTTAACACATGTTTGGGATCTACTTGAATGAGATCGGATAGTAGTAAGATGTAATATGCTTGGACACCGTAGCAAGAAATGGTGGTTACTGTCCTATTGGTGCCAAAGATTGGAGAGAAGTTAAGAAAAACAATGCAGAAACGATAATTCAATTCGTCCAGGTTAGGTAAATTTTACAAGACATAATGTTTTAAAAGATTAAGTATATATATGCTTGTTATGATGTCATGATGTCAAATTCATTCATCAGTGACTTTCTTATTTTAGACAAAGTTCTTATATCCTCATCCATGTGAAAAATGGATATTGAAATCAATTGGAAGAGATCGGAGAAAATACAAGGCAACATTAAAAAAAGACACTATTTAATCTAAGTCAGTTTTGAACAGGCGTTGTCCAGATGATATCGATGAAGATCAATGGAAGGCCCTAGTAAAATATTGGAAGTTCAGCGAAGGACAAGTAAGGCACCATTATTGACGCTATTTGCCCTTTTTTCCTATCACTATCTATACCATTATTGATTTCTATATTATAATGGTTCATTATCTATTAATTTACTTTTCTTGTAGAACCTAAGTGAGAAGAACAAAATAAGTCATGAAATGAAGAAGACAACACATATAGCGGGTACAAAGAGTTATGCTCGTTGGTCTGAGGACATGGTGAGTCATCTTCTGTTTAAAAAAAATTATATATGATTCTTCTTACTTTCCTTTACTGATATTTTTTTAGAGGCAAGCTAACCCTGAAAAAAAAACAGCCACATAGAGCAAAGATTTACCTCGCAACTCATAGGAAAAGGAGAAAAGGGATAAATGAACCAGTGGTATGCTACATGAACATGATAATTTTTGCAAATATAAAATTATTTCTGTTTTCTAATGTGCGGATTTCTTGCTTGTAGGTTGAACTGGAAATCTCCTAGACACACAACTAGAGTTAGCACAAAATAGTGAGGGAGGAGTTGCATGAGAAGATGATGCATTACATCAGATGTTGGGGGAAGAGAAAGCTGGACAAGTGCACATCATGGGATTGCTTCCGGTTCCTAAACAAGTTTATGGCCGAAGAACACACCATTTTAAGGACATTATTATAGTTTCACTAGATGGCTCATCATCTGATGTAGAGACTCACATGTTGGAGGAAATAAGGCAACTCAAAGAGCATTCTAGAATGCAAGACAAAGTTATTGAAGAACTAAAAAAATAATCAAAGGCACCATGAGAACCAAGAAGCAACAATGGTAACAATGTACATTTTAATTTGTAACTCCGTATTGAAATGTGTTACTCAAACTTTATATCTTTTCTAGGGATACTATGCTAGGAGTGATTATAACAATTCTCAGAATCAAGCGGTGCTTTCTAAAAGAAAGGTATTTGCTCTGTTTTTCATGTTTTCACCTAATCTAGTCTTCAGGCTTTAATATTGTTTCAAATTTTTAGAGAGTTTACTGTGTTGCACCCAACCAGAATGATGGATTCCTTAAGCACATGGATGAATTGGTGAAGTCACTTTCTTGTGAATTTAATACTTATTTTATCCACAAAGGATTTTTTTTATATTAACTCATGCTACTGTCTTTTTTCTCTTTACTAGAATAAAGAAACATGTGATTCTGAATATAGTGATGATGACAATCTACTTTTATCCACCACAAGTAGAACAACAAAGAAACAAAAGGTATCTATGAACCACACTTTGCTGTAATTATAGTGAATTTTTTTCTTAATATTTTATACTTCATTTTATATCTGTAAGGGTCATCACGGAGGGCCTGGAGAGACCACAACCATTGCACACCAAGAGGTGGCTCATGACAAGGCTACATGCTACCAGCCTCAAACACCTAAACAACTTCCTCTAATGAAGGTAGATGAACATAATACACTTTTCTAATTGCATGATCATGATGTACAACTAAGGGTTGTTGATCACTAAGAGAATATGTCAAATTAATGTAGGCTGGGTCCATGGTGCTATTAATGACTTCAAAATATGCTAATATGGTCAATGTAGCCTATGCAACTCTCTTCAGCACTGATCCAGAAACCATTGTTGGTGGAGTTAAGACAAGAAGTCAATTCTACAAAGTACGTATCAATCATGCTATAGTAAAAGATGAGCTATTAGTGAGGCCCGTGCCTGCGTGCAACAATATTGGTGATGTTCAAGCCAAAGGAGTCCCAATTGCTTGGCGTTCGACGTTTATATGTTCAAACTAGCTTTCTTAACTTTACATCAGTGTACATATGCGGCCTAATTTGTAATCTTACAACTTATATTTTCTTTGTAGGTTGAAATGATTAATGGTTAAATTCCTATGTCAATGTGAACAAGAAGAAGCAATGGACTTTATGAATCCTAGCTAGTTTTTGGATTTTTCTTTCTAGTATGCACAATGTGTGTTTGCTCTCTAGAGCCATATCGTTATGTATATATGCTATGATTTGATATGAACAAGCACTATGTTTGAAATCATCCTACAATATGTGGATCTTGCTATGATTATGGAAATTTGTGGTTTATGTGATTTTGCAATGTGTCATGTTTGTGTGATTATATAATAATATGTGTGCCATATGTATAGGTGAAATAAATATTTTTTTCATAATCTGAGTATGTTATAATGGATATAAAAAAGTGTTACAAACCATGTGTTCCTTTATTCCATACTGTGCTCTACCATAATGTAGAAGTGTTACTAGAAAAAAAATGTTGCAACAGACAATCCCTGTAACACTAGGCAAATGTTTCGATAAATAAATAAATATATTACAAACTATACCTTCAACCATAATATGAAGTGTTACTAGAGAAAAAAAATGTTACAACAAAAACCATTATAATACTAGACAAATGTTTCTATAAACAAGTAGATGTGTTATAATAAACCAGTCTATAGTAAAATAGCCAATTGAAATAAAAAAATGTGTTACTAGAAGAGCTAGTAATACTTTTTTCAACATATAGTAACATGTTACTGTATCTCTGCGCCATAGTTTGTCGCCGGACGGGATGAAGAGCCTCAGCAACGCAATCACGCAGCTCTCCGTCGCGGCCGGGAGCTACCTCAACTCAGTGGTGCTCAGCGCTGTCACGGTGACCACGGCGCGTGGCGTGGAGCCCGGGTGGGTCCCCGACGACCTGAACAAGGGTCACCTGGACTATTTCTTCTGGATGGCTCTGGGCAGCAGCGGACCCAGAAAATATTTTAGGGGGCTGAACAACACTGTTGTTCGATCTTAAATCTCAGCCCCTCCTACACTATAGAACTTTGTCTACAAATTCATGTGGGCTCCAAAAGGGTTTCACTGCCCCCGGACTACTTCAACCGACGGCACAGCTTCTTGACTTGTGTGCAAGTGGGTACATGTTTGGCCATATGCGGACCTGGTTCTGGGTGGGTAGTCTAACCGTGGTAGGAAATCCTCAATGGTGTCACGTCCTCTGCCGTGGCTGGCTGCTAGTGACCTAGTGTGTTGGTGGCAACGGCGTGGCATTGCAGCTTGCCCAGTTCTTAGTGTTAGAATATATAGTTGTAGCAGCAAATATGTCTGTGTTGCAACGGGTGAAAAATCAAACTATACTCAAGTTTAATAAACATGGCATAAATTTTAACTTTTTCGGAGATTATATGCATCATTGTTAGGTAATACACTTGTTTGCAAATATTTAAAATACATCCCTCTACCCTTCGTCCAGCATGTGTTAAGTTTTTTTAAAACGGTCGCTTTTGGCCATAGCGCTCAGGCAAACGCATGCGTGTAGATGGTAGACGGCCGGGTAGTAGATTCATGTTTACGTACGTCATCGTGTGGCTGCACCACGTGTCCTCTCCACATCAGACACGGACACGGCTAGGCTCAGGGCCTCATATAGTACTCCGGTCTCCATATATGGCACGCATACTTATTTTAAATTAATATTTCCTCGTAATATAAAAGTTGGATTATGATTTCTAGCTATTTGATTAGGCCGGTTTCCTATTCAAATTACTCAGGATCACAGCCTCCTAGAATATATTTGGATTATGATTCCTGGCTATCTAGCTTACCTCATGAAGCCCTACATATGCCGTATATAACTTGTAGCCTACAGATAGTCGAATAATAGAGACAAATTTCACATTCACCAAGTTAGCTAGGGGAGAGCCGGACAAAAAATAGGGGAGATAAATTTTACCTCTTTAATATTAGGTATAGATATATATATGTCTATATTTTTTCCTCTTTCTGTGAGGGCTTCTATGCATAATGCCTAGGTCTATATTTGGGCAGTTGCCATTGGAATACACAGAGTTCATTCTCTCCTAACATGGTAACCAGAGTAAGTTTTTTGGGTTAGGGTTAAGGTTTACCTTGCCGTCACCGATCTCCTAGCACTGGTCGTGGCTTCTCCCTCTATTATGCCGCGGCTCCTCACGTGGCATCGTCACTTTGCCACGGCGGCCGCGACTTCTCACGCCGGGCCCCTCCTGCCTACGTCTCCTAGCATGCCCACCCTCCCGCGCTCCTCAAACCATGGCTAGACTGTTGCGCCCCTTCGGTCACTACCACGCCACTTTTCGACATTCGCTCGAGTGTGCATTGGCCGTGGCCGCTCGCCTACTCGCGCCGCCGCATCTGATCGCGCCCGTGTGGGCCGCTCACCTCCTCACGCACCGCCGCACCATGTACTCACGTCTATGCGGGCCGTGTTGCTCCCATCCGTGCTGGCCCGCTTGCCTCCAAACGAACCGCCACAACGCTAGCGTCCGTGTGTGCCCGCATTGGCCCATGTTGCGCCCGCTCACCTGTGTCTGCACGCGCTGCATGCAAGCACGTCCGCGGCACGTGCTGTGGCCACTAACATTCGCGTGCCTACGAAGGCTGCGTGTGATCCTCCTCGCTCACCCATGCGCACGTGCTCGCCTGCCTATGCTTTGCTGCGGCTGATTGCTCCCTTCTGTTTGGTTGAGTTTTGGTACAAAAAATGGTATCCCCTTTAGTTCCTTCATCTGGTGGTGGTCAGGTCCCACACTGTCCCGTGCTCTTCATTGGCACCAACTATTGTGATTAGGTTTTTCGCATGCGGTGGCATATGCGTGGTCTTCGACTTTGGGAGTTTCTCAGTGGTGAGTTTCCATGTTCAACCTCACCTTCGACTCATGTGCCACCAGTGATCCCTACAGGAGCTTTAGAGGATGACCAAAAGAAGCTTCATGAAGCTTATGATGATGACATGGCCTCCTATATGTCCTAATTTATGGCCTATCGAACGTGGTTAGATGAGGATGCCCGTGATGGTGCTGTTCTTGTCGCTAGTATGGATGAGGGCCTGGTTGGAGATCTGGTTCAGCTTTATCATTCTTCTCAAATGTGGTCTTTCCTTCATCAGCGCTATGAGCCCTCTAGTCAGTCCACCTATCTTTCTGCTTTACGTTAGGTGCAGTTGTTATTCCAAGGTGGCAGTATAGTTGAGGAGTTCTTTCGATAGCTATCTGCGGTGTGGCATGAGCTTGACACTCTTAGTCCTAAGTTGTCACCTACCACTTGTGATTCCTGTCGCAACCAATAAAGTCACCTTGAGCTCATTCGTAGATATGATTTTCTGACTCATCTTCGTGGTGAGTTTGAGCCTCTTTGCGCTCTGTTACTTGCTCGTGAGCCCCGTGTGTCCTTGATGAAGGCTCTTGCTTTTGTTTGTAATTTGGAGACTCGTCTTTGTTTTGTTGGTTTGCTTCAGTCGACCTCCTCCTCAGTTTTATTTGCTCGATCTACATCCTCTGGAGTTCCTGCATCTTGTCCCAAGGTACCTTCTTCAGTGGCATCTGGATCTAGGACTGGCAGTTCAGGTGGACTTCATTGTTGCCATTGTGATAGAGATGGACATGTCGAGGCTTACTGTTATAGGAAGTAGAAGGTGGCTCAGTCTCGCTGAGGTGGCCGTCCATCATAGGGTACTGGTAGTGCGACTATTGGTGTCTCTCAGAGTATCGGTGGCTCTCAGTATAATGATACATAGGAGATACTCATGTTGCTTCATCATCTTCCTACCTCTGTACCTACTGGAGTTGTTGGTTCTGCCACTCCTGCCCCTGGACTATCCGCTGCTGCTTCTCAATGTTCTAATGAGGAACCACCATCGACTTTAGGTATCTTGCCATGTATTCTTGACTCTGGTGCTTCTTTCCATATGACGCCTAATCATTCCCGTCTTTCTTCCATTTGCCCTCCTTCTATTCCTCTCATTGTTCAAACTATTGATGGCTCAGCTATGTTGATTGTTGGTCGTGCCACTCTTTCATCCTCTTCTTTTCATGTTCACATTGTTTCTTATGTTCCTAATTTGACCATGCAACTTATTTTTGCTGGCCAGCTCACCGATCATGGTTGTCATGTTATTCTTGATTATGACTCTTGTTATGTTCAGGATCTCAGCACTGGTCTACTGGTTCATACTGTCCCTCGCCACTGTGACTCTCAGCGTCTTTGGGTGCTTGACTGGCTTCATCTTCCTTCCACTGCCTCTGCCATTCAAGTGGGCTCTACTTCTCTAGTATCTGCTTCTTTGTCCTTTGCTCGGTGGCATCATTGATTGGGACATTTGTGGTTCTTCGATATCCACTCTTGTCTATCGTAGTCTTTTGGGGAATGTCTCTGGTGATATTTCTTTAGATCGGCATCAGGGCTGTAAACTTGGCAAACAACTCCAGCTTCCATATCCCTCTAGTGGATTCGTGTAACACCCCTAGTGTTACAAGCTTGCTTAGCACCGAGATTTAGGTCCGAGAAGGATTAGCCAAATAAGTTTTTGAGATTTAAAAATTTATAACGCGCGTGAGGCAAAAAACAATTTCTATGAACAAGGATCAAACATAACTTGTATTTAGTACTTAAATAAAAATTGAAGTACAAGTTTAGTAGATGGAAATGCAACTTTAACTTTTGGAAAATAGATGTTGTTAACTAGTGTTTTAGGAGCTCAAAAATCAAATTTGACGTTAAGATAAGCTCTTTTTGTTAAGTCGACAAACACTTGAACTATTGTTAAAATACCATTTTTGGCGAATTATATTGAGCAAAATAGTAAAATGGTGCTTAAATATTTTGCTCCTATGGGTTAGTATAAGGTATGGACTATCGCATGAAATACTTATTGGTAGCAGTTAATAGGGTTTAGGCCTTTTAAAAATTGTAACAAAAGTGTTAATGGCTGTTAGTTTGAATTGAATCCTTAACTTTTCTAAGTATGGAAAAGTAGTAAGACAATGCTATTTTGACATTTAATTTCTAACAAAAATGTTTAAACACTAGTTGCATGTTTTGGTATTGT